TTATAACATAACCAAAGTAAAGCGCGCGCTCTGATTGGTCAATTTAGCGTCCCCCATTTGCCCATGGGTGTACGCTGCTGACGTGAGCAAATGCAAAGACTATTTTTCCGCGCGCGCTTGTTTTTTCTGGTCGCGTAAGATTTGTTAAATAAAAGGGAACTCTTTAGCTACAATGTATCAATGTTATGTTATAAAACAAATGGTAAACACCACAGCGTACACTATTGAGTTATGGATGCACGCGGGAGGTTGCTAAGCACGAAAGAAGCGTAAGAGTCGCTCGAGGCGATAGCCGAGAGCGACTCTAGCTTCTTGAGTGCTTAGCAAACCTCCCAAGTGCATCCATAACTCAATAGTGTACGCTGTGGTGTTTACCATTTGTTTTATAACATAACATTGATACATTGTAGCTAAAGAGTTCCCTTTTATTTAACAAATCTTACGTGACCAGAAAAAACAAGCGCGCGCGGAAAAATAGTCTTTGCATTTGCTCACGTCAGCAGCGTACACCCATGGGCAAATGGGGGACGCTAAATTGACCAATCAGAGCGCGCGCTTTACTTTGGTTATGTTATACAAAATGTTGGAAGGGGATATTCTTCAGTGCATTAGAATTTTCGGCAGACCTTACCTTGAAAGCTTCCTCTTCTTCTTTGTAGATCGGATCAATGCGAGCCAAAGGCGCCACAAACTCTACAGCTGACAACGGTCTCTTTGAAAGCTGAATAACGAAAATTAAAGTAGAACTTTAATGATACAGATCAGGCCCCGGTTGTTCGAGGATAAATCGCTATCCGTGGGATAAATTGCTATCCGTGGGATAAATCGTTATCCGTGGGATAGCACAGTGGGTTAACACTTATCCGCTAGATAGCACAGTTTATCCGTTGGAGGACGTTATCCGCCCTTTAAACAACTGTGCACAGTGTATGTGCTTCTGTCCAAGTGCAATACACTTTAACGAATATAGTCAACCCCTCCGCAGCCTCTTTGCGTGACGAGACCAAACATTGGCTGCAGAGGAGACTAAAATTACAGGGGATAACGCAAAACCGTTTGACCATCGGTCTCACGCACCTGTTGAATTCGTCTCTCCGTCAGAATTTGTTCAATGGCTTGTACCATGTGACCTGGAGTGTAGCCGTCAGTAATCTTGGCCAGCGAACTTACATCTATCGCCTCAGTCACGCGTCCACCACATCGTGAGATCAACATTTTCCAGAGCACTAAGATGGATAAGAACAGCAAGTACAAAATAGTTACTGCGGTTCAATTTTTCGTGTTGTTTTCCATTTAAAGTTACGTTTCAGTTTGACTGGCATCCAAAATGACCAATCGACATTCAACTTTAAAGTAATTTTCATTTCTTTATTCGAGCACGATTTAAAAAGAAGCAGGGTATACTTACAGAACCTCGAAGCATAGTCAGGTCTGGGTATCAGCAAAATCTTCTGGTATAGTCCACAAAATGGTTTAATTTCGCCGTCTTTTAACAGTTAAGAAATACAACATCAAGGAAGAAAACCTAACGATCTTAACCTCTCAATTTTATCAGTGACATGCTTTGGCCTATGTGACAAAGTGAAAAGGATACCAAAGGGCATGCGCGAGGTTCCAACGATCAACACTCGATCCTCTCCTTTAAGGGTTTTCAAAATCTTAGGCAGATCCTTTTTCAGTCTCTTCGGGTCACTCTAGAAAAGAGAACACAAACGAACATGGTTAAGATGGTTAAGATAAAACCATAAACATTCGGGCGGAGCTATCTCCCTTCCTTTCTCCCCGCCTTCCAACCACTTCGCGTTTTTATTATTGCTCAGCTTTTATCAACATTGATTGACAAGCGTGGAGGGTTCCTGAACCCTACGAAGGTTCTCGATCCGTCTCACGAGAAAGCGTGATGAATCTCGCGGGAACACGTAAAGGATATCACGCTAAGGATTCGCGTTCTTTCTTTGCGCAGCTTTAACGGTAACTAGCGAGGAGGGTCTCTGAACCTTACGAAGGTTCTCAATCCACCTCACGAGAAAGCGTGATAAATCTCGCGAGAAAGCGTAAAGGATATCACGCAGAGGCTACACTGCGATACACTGTTAGGATAATGTAAGCTTAACCTAGGATGGCTACGTTACCTTGTCAGTCTTGGGAACCTTCTTAACAAATGTTCTCTCGGCGTCTCCAATGTACACGACTGAAGGTTGAAGCTGCCGGGCCACCTGGTGCAGGAAAAAGGGGGAAATATAATTAGGGGAGGGGTACCTTCTATTTGTAGGTTCAAATACGAGCTACTGTGCGGGAAATTAGCCCGTGTGCCCCTTCCTGACTCTTGTTCTCCCTCTTGGAGGGGGGCCAAAACCAGACGGCCTCCTCCCCTCTCCTGGTCTCCCTCTTGGGAGGTGGGGACAGGAAAGGGGGCGAAAACCAGACCGCAGAGAGCGGAGGAACCTAGGTCATAATCTCAGGCCTATTTGAAGAGTTTTTATTACCTCCAGAAAACTTGACAAAAAGAGCGTCTAAAAACGTCAAAACAAGCGATATAAATAGAAAATATAAGGTCTATCTAGAGCAGGATTGACGAAAACGTCCTGTATACAACGTCCTGTATCCTGTATCCTGTATAAATATAGATGTCTGTCTGTCTGTCTGTCTGTCTGTCTGTCATAGGATTTTGACAGGATAGCATGAAATACCTTAAACACCATATGGAGCATCATGGCCAGTCCAGCCTTCCCTGGGTATTTGCCCGCAATATTCGCAGCGGTCAAGTCGAACATGTTGGCCCCAGTCTCTGTGCAGATGCAATGCACCAACATTTTCTTCCCAACTCCACGGGGGCCCGCGATCAGAACTGACTTTACTAGCGGCGCTTTTTCATGCACAGCTTGAGATCCTGCAAAAAAAAAACAAAAACAAAAAATAATCAATTACCATGGTGTATTTTCTTCTCGAAGATGAATTTCGAATTTTGCAGATTTATCTGCATTCAGAACATAAAACTATCTGTAGCTGCTAAATAGAAAGTCTTCGAAAGTCACAGAGACAAAGTTTTGTTAAAATACAGAACAATGAGAATTTTAAGTTAGATCTTTAATTCCCTTAATGAGCAATTCCCTTAATGAGCAATTCACTTAATTCTGAGCAAAATTTTGTTTGTTTGTTTTAACTAGTCACGGCCTTCCTG